AAAAAGTCACCTTCTTCCACCTGAAGTCTAGTCCCAAAAAATATCATAGGAAATGGCCGAATACCAACTATTTCTTGAAACAAATCTGTATAGAAGTCCACAAATTCCTTGAGCTACTTCCTCTCTGTCTTCCACTCTCTCACCATTGATCTTAATACTCTCAATTAAATTAAGCTTCCTTATGTAATTTGCTGCTTTTGTTGAAACATCGAGTGTTCTTATCACCAAATTTGAGTCTAATTTCCTAGGATTTCTGCCTCCAATAGATCTCCTGCTGGTAGAGAGCTTTCCCAACTTCAACCCTAAAGTCGTCCCTTGCTAGCCGCTCAGATCTTTTAGTATTTATTGTTAGTTTGATGATTATTTATTATTTATTATCTAGTATATTCTGGTACAGTCCGATATTATTACGAAACGATACCCTGATGATTTTGCCGGTACGATTTTTTGAAAAAAAATATTTTATTATTACAAAAACGGTATTTACCAGTATGAAACGATTGAACTATACGATTGTAGCACAAAATACCCTACTAGAAAGGTATCCGGTATTATGTTCGTTACGGTTTCCGTTGAGGTGGGACACAAACAGCTAGGTAATGACAAGGACAAGTTTGATTGATCCAAAGGAATTATCAAGGCCAAGTAATGCAAGGTACATGACATAAGGAAATTAGTAGAATACTGAGATAAAGTATCAAGTATGAGTGGTGGGGGAAATGCAATTCTCAATCCACAGCCACTTCGTACGATTTAGACGACTATGAGGTGTAGTATGGGTAGTCCGAATTTTTTTTTAATATATTAATATTGGTATTAGATTATAGATCAAAATGTCAAAAGTTGAAAATGCTATTTTGACACTTGCAGTTGTAATGGGTAGATTCAAAACTAACTTTAAAAGATAGAAAGATCGATTTTGGGGGTATATTTCAATTGGAATCTTGGTTATAGTGTGATAATTGATTTGTGCTAGCTTTTCAACTTGAAATAATTTATAATGTAGTGGTAAAACACTCGATCTTTTATCACCTAGAGATGATGAGTTTCATCAACATTAAATATTGTATGGATAATTAAAAGACTAATTTATCACTATTTTCCTATGGCTCCAACCAATCCCATAGCAAAATAGTCAATATGAAACATAGGTGACCCTAACATGACAAATTTTCACGATAGGAGTTATTCTGCCGAAACAAAAATGGAATTTGGACCATCATATATAGTTTGGCCAGTATAAATCACTGTGGGCACATAGGCCGATATTGCTTGCAGTTAATATTCATGATTTTGTTGACCGGAATGGGATTCGAATGTGCAGGTTTCACCCGATCTAGATTAGTCGAAATCGGAGCACACCCAAAATCCTGCGTGCAGGGCAAGTAACAGTTGCACAGGTAAAGTGCGGTACGATCACACTGGCCAACAGCCGATGATCCGAATCGCTGAGCACATCCACAGTCACAATCAAAATGGCCGACGCGATCTCCGAACTCAACGGTAATTCCACCTTTCCGGCAAAGGTTTGTTGCTGGGCCTACATTTGGAATTTCAATTGCTTGCGTGCCTGATCAATCAAATCAAATACCGGTGGTTTCATCAAATACAATCTGACTACGTACATTTTGAACATATAAATCTCAAACTCAGAAGAGAAAAAAAATACAACAAAAAATAAAGAAATTCACCGGCAATGACAAAGAGAACCAGCAAGCATTGGACAAGAATTGACCGAATCTTCATGCTCCAGCGTGGATTTTGATTTTCTTATCTAATTTTTTTTTTATATTCTTATCTATTTTCTTTCGGCAACCTTAAGATGAAAATTTAACTAGATAGCAAGTCGATTTGGAGTTCCTTCCGTTCAGAGGATATATATACAATGTAGGTGAACATTGACACTGATTTACCATTCAAACGAAATTGTATTGTATGAGAATAATTAATGGTGGTCGGGTAGTGTAATTAGTATATATAAAGCCCCTAATTACTTAAGGGGTTTAGTAGGATGCGGTCATATCCATAGTAAGCTTCTGCACCTCTTTCTCCGTCATTGTACCGAACTGCTTCTAGCTTTCCCCGTCGGCTGGCTGGCGACTTTGCATTAGGGAAAAAGGAAAATTTTAGAAAGGAAGAACAAGGGTCACCGTCGTCAAGTTTGAAAGGGCTCGAGTGATCGATCAAATCCACAGCCGCTTCCAAAAGTTCCATTTATCAAGCAAGGCGAGCAACGAAATTCATCTTCTGTGAATTTCGAGTCAATTAATTCTTCCACCCAGAAGCTATTCAATAACAGAGTTTGGACAAATGCAGAACCCTACTCCCTATCACTTCTCTCCAGTTCAGCAATTGAGCTAGAAATCGTCCTCTGCAACTTGGAATTTGAGATGTCCGGCCGTCTGGGTATATATAATAGAGACTGCTAGAGAAAGGAATTGCATGTCATCTATCTATCTATTATTTTTCCACTGCACGTCCGATTTGCCCTCTTTAATTCTACCCTGGTCGTATCAAGTTTTACTCTGCTTTATCATGTGTTGAATATGATTTGGTGGAGATTGATTCGTCGGAGAAGAATATAAACAGAAATTGGTTGTTGGAGAGACTAGAATGGGTTCATTCTTATTTTAATCAACGAATGCTAGCTACTAGATACTCTCTGCCGAACCGAAGAGTCTACTCTTCTCATTTTATATATGTTTCTTTTGCAAGATATCATATATGCATGAGTTACATTTGGCAGCAAAAGAATGACATTTGGCAAACTCCACTAATCTTATGGTTTCACTACACACCACTCCAATCCAAATGACGATGTGCAATTACAGAGCTTGCTGCATAATAGAGATGTCCAAGTCTTAGGCATTTTTTAAAATGCCTAAATCAGTTTAGCATTTTGATGGTGTTTTCGTTGATATTCATAATAAAATGTGTGAGATTAAAAGGTATTTACAATGAGAATATTTGAATGTGTATTGGTTGAAGTTATGGTGGTTGCTGAATTGCAGTGGTTGGTGCATCATTAGCAAAGCATTTGAGCCCATTTAGTAAACATGTTTTTTAGACACACTTAATACATATTATGATTTCGGTTAGTAAAGTATCCATTCAACTGTTCAAGTAGTGGTTGATTAGTAATTAGTGATCATGTGGATTAGTAGTTTCTTCGATTGGCCTTTGGGGTTTTTAATAAATTGTTTGTAGCCGATTTGTAATAATTTTTTTACTTCTATTGTCACGCGCCTATACTTTAAACGAGATCATATGATCTAAGATTACAAAAAAATCATGATTTCTGATAATTTGGGTATTCTAATTGCCGAAATGTTTGAGCATAGTACTTCATGTATGTAAAAAAGACTATTGACCATATGGTTTTACTGTTCCAAAAAGACATAATGAAGTTTGAATTAAAAAATAAAACTTTTAGAACACTCATTTCTTCCTCCTTCGACGATTTCCCCTACATTGGCCAAGGTCACCTTCGAATTGCGATCCACTTCAAGAATCATATATTTTTTTAAAAAGTCAACTGGACAAGAAGTCCTTCAAGTACTTAGTCAAGTATTAAGGTTAACTTGCTTTGCTTAGCAAACAACTCATCCTCTGAACGGTGAATAGATCACATGATAGCGTATACTATAAAATACTATTTATTACAAAACATGCATCCTCTTCAACGGATTGATTGTTATTTTTTCGTAAAAAAAACATTCTTATTATGTGTTTTTCCAATGTCATGATCTTACATGGATCGATATGCAATTATGCATGCAAGTCAAGTGTTTTACACTTTGTTTTTCAGTTACTCTAATCTTCTTTGAAAAGAAAAAATTCCAGAACTCTCAATGGATATGCTATTTGTGAATGTTAGTATTTACGATCTTATAATGGTGTTCGATTGAAAACTGCACACATTTGAGATGATGAATTATGTTAAAATTAAAATTTTGGATAATTATGGTAAACTTAGTTATAAGAAGATATATTGAGAACAATTTGATGATTTTTTTTAAATTTTTTGGATACATCATACAAAGTACATATGTTTTTAATTAAATTTATTTAATAATATCTCAAAGATCTCCAATTCTCCACAAATATAAAGTCGTATATGTTCTTACAGAAATTTAATAAATAAAAATATAATTATAATAAATTTGGCAATCAAAATCAAGCTACAATAAGAATAGATTTAGTCTAATTCAATTTGGTGTAACTCAATTAAATACTCATCAATACCCGCCGCAGAGCGCGGGCCAATTATCTAGTTTAATTAATTGCATCTTAACTCTTATTTTGAATGGTACTTAATTACATCTTAACTTGGGGCTTAGTCGATTAGATATGATACAAAGCATATTGGCGGCCGTTTACTTGTTCCTTAACGACAGTAAAGATAAGAGTAGAGGAGGTCAAGTCTGTTGATAAGAATTAAGAAGTTTCCTTCACATTCGAGCATTAATGGATAATGAACAACAAATTAATTAATTAAGTCGCATCATTTAAAAATGGTCACCATTTCCATTCCGTTGAGCTAAAGAGATGAGTTAGCTTGGTTACTAAATTTCTGGTAGCCACCTTGGCTACATCAATATCCACCATCCATTTTTATTTTTTTTCCTATTTTTTTAATCTCACGATTATGATTGTTCAAGGATAATTTTGGAAACAAAAAATAAACCACACTGGATTATTCTATATATACACAAACCCTAATTCTACCCTCCTCCCACCCAACCCACCGCCTCCCACCATCTATTCTTCTCGGCGGTGCCGCTGTCCCTCCCCGCCCCTCTCCTCACCACCCACCCCACCGGCGGCACCCTCCCCCACTCCATCCCTCCCATCCCCTCACCACCCCACGTCCCCACCCCGCAGTCCCCCCTCCATCCCTCCACCTCACCCACTAGCCATTCCCCTCACCATCCCATCTCAATCGCGTCTCCACTAGCCATTCCCCAGGACAACCAAAGTGAAGTGTCTGACTGATGCTGGCCTGTTTCTTGATTCGTAAGTTTCTAACCTTTCCTTCTAATGAATGTTTTGCTTTCCCTTCTCTGCCTCATGCTCAAGTCGTTCAAGGACTGAGATTTCCTGTAACTAATTTGCTTAGTTGGTCTCTGCAATTGGAAGGAGGAAATCCATTGGAATGGTATGTTTTTTTTTTTAAAATGGTAGTCATTTTTTTTCAGTAGTGATTTTTTTTAAATGGTAGTCATTTTTTTCGTAGTGGTAGTGTTATTGTCGTATTGGTATAGTTTTTGTCGCATTGGTATTATTTTTGTCGCATTGGTATTGATTTTGTTACATTGGTATTGATTTTGTCGCATTGGTAGTGATTAAATCTGCAATGGTATTGATGTTTTGTGAAATGGTAGTGTTTTTATTTCTTGAATGGTATTGATGTTTTGTGAAATGGTAGTGTTTTTATTTCTTGAATGGTAGTTTTCGTGTAATGGTATAAATTTAATTCTGCAATGGTAGTTTTCGTGTAATGGTATAGATTTATTTCTGCAATGGTATTGATATTTTTCAAAGTGGTAGTGTTTGTCTAATGGATTGGTACTGATTTCGTTTTTTTTTTTTTTTTTTTTTGCAGAAAGATTGAGAAAAATATGGATAGGAAATCTGGCTGAGATTACGGAAGTGAGAGAAAGAGAGATTTTTAATTAATAGATTTTTGTAACTACCTTAAATGTAATTTATTAAAAAATTAATTAGTATAATTTATTTTTCCATACCCAATTTACCTTTAGTAACCACGGCAATTAAAGGTAGGTAAATGTATAAATCACATTAAATTAGTACCAAACCAATAAGAGCGTTCACGTTATATATAGTTCCATGCATATATTGCTAGGTCTATTCAGAGCGTTGTTTACCGAATTAAGAGAGAAAAAGTAAGATCCGGCCGGACCAGAGCAAACCACATGAAGTCGACACCGTTCCTTTTGCTGCTGGTTCTCCTCTCCACTGCTGGTCAGTTTCTTTGTTAACCTTAATTTTCTAGTCCATTCATTCGAATACATTGTCGTGGCTGAATTAATATATATACATGATACTTTATGTTGTTGTAATGTATTTGTAACTGAATGAATGATCAGGAAAGCAACTAACTGGAGTGGATGCAGACACGCCACAGAAGTTTTTCTTCAAAGCTACAATACCTACGAACAAGAGCTGTTTGAAGGTTCCTTCAGCTCCTTGTCAATGTCACGACGAATGTTGGCAACAGTTCGGTCTTGGGTCCATTGGACAATGTCACTTCAAGTCGCCTAAGTCCTGCAACTGTTACTTGCCATGTGGTGTTTGATTATAGACGTTACGAGCCACTTCTACGAACTAAGAAATAAATTAATAAACGATGTAGTTGGATTCTAGTCTTCTTACTTTATTCCATGACAATAACAACCAATTTATACGAGTTCTTACAACGCATAAACCTAACCAACAACGAGATTTAGGTTCCGCCCGTCCGTCGGGTGAATTTCATTACTATTATAAATAACCATGATAATTGTCCAGATTATGACATGTTTTATTTCATAAAATTTCAAATCATTTAGTTATAGGAAATATCATACTCGTATAATTTACAACATGGTAATCCAATTTATTGACTAATGTACTTTCTGCAAGTAAAAAAAAAACAAAAGCTACGCAAGGAAATCGACTCTTAAAATTTTTCGTCTGGCCACACTACTTGCTTCTTGCTGTGAACAATTATTGAAATTTCATTTTGACCATGCCACATAGGGATTTATTAGTTTTAACCAATGACCTACAACTTTTACAAATTAAAGATAACTATCCACAACCACACAAATTATTATCCATTCACCTCCCTCTGTTTCATAGGAAGAAATCCGAAGGAGCCAAGGAGAATTGATCCGAATATGCATGCGACGATTATCCATTGCAAGAGATGGTAAAATCCCAAAATGATATGATTCCAAATGGTCAATTCTACACGTTTTTATTATTTGTCGAAGAAGCTATCAAAGTTGGGAAGAAGAAGGACATAATTTGGCTAAGTCATTTTTCGAGTTCATGATACCTACTTTAGAGGCATGGTTCTCTCAATTGGCTTGGTGAAAATTCAAGGTTAGGTGTTTGTTTTGAAAATAAAGTTGCCATCTTTACAATGGTATGCTTTTTGGATCCCGAATAAGTCATTAAGATTGTTTTCCAAGCCTACTTTGGAGCTCAATTCGAGGAGCATGGAGTTGATTAGAGTCCAGAGGCTCCACAACATGAAAATAGGTATGTTTATCTACCAAGAGAAGGAATTGGATGAAAGATCGGAGTTTTGGAAGGCCTCGAACTAAAGGCGTGAAATTAGTACGAAAGCTGCTTTTGGACTGTTTGCTGGCAGCTTACTTGTGCTTCAAGAAAGGAAGTTTATACCCGAATTTTGAGTCCTTTTTAGAGTAGATTTTTACCTTAATTGTTTCGTGGTTCTATTAGGTTTGTATTAGGTTTATTTGTCTTTAAATACCCTTCTAGTTTTTGTTGTAAAGCAGAGAAGATTATTGTTGAATGAAAATTGCTCCTACGTGAGTGTTTTGAGTTCTTGAGTGTGTCTCGAGATTTTACCCATTGTCTATAGCTTCGAATGGATTCCTTAGCTAATTACAAGACCCTTGTGAGGCTATTCTGAGTGGATTCAAGAATCGTTTAGCAATTTCTCTTATCAATCGATTAATCACCTCGATTGTAGCGAGAATTCTACCTTTCCGTCAAATATCGTTCGATTGTTTGGTTTGCTGCATTACTTTTTTATAATAATACAATAATCCAACAAATTTGAGATGATAATTATTGACTTGAATTCTTATAATACAATAGGTCTAAATCCATTTTTATCCGAGTATTTCCTTGTGTTGCCATTATAATATTATATTTTGTCCTACACATTTAGATATATGATAATATAACATCTGCTCTATGCATTATAGATTTTTATATTGACTAAAAAAGATAGATAATTCTTGACACTTTAAATATTATAGATTTTAAATACATATTAAATATATTTTAATTGTGAAATTAGCATTATAATTAAGTTACGTTCAAAATATTATATTAGAAGAATGTGGGCTTTTCAGTTTTCATCCCTAACTTCTTCGTAAAAAAATTGGACCTTTTTCTAATCTTTAAGATAAAAATAGTGTAATCATCAATACAAATTTGTTTTTTTTTTTGATAATATCAATACAAATTATTGAATTTAGATGTCAATGAATATATATTCATAAATTACATGATACAAATTATAACATAATTACCGCATGCACAAAGGGACAGGTTGCAAGCTAGCTTGTAATAATGATTTTATTAATTCAGATTATCAAATATGGTTCTGCTAACTCTACGTGTTATATTTGAACTGTGAAAACAATTTCAAAATATGACTCCTATCTAAGACTCTTGCTCCATCCCTTTTTATTTTATAATGGTCTCTTGCTCCATCCCTTGTTCAAGTTTGCTCCTTCACAAGTTCCTGCAACAAAATAAACTTTCACGACGTTCTAATAGAAAAAAAACTCTTCTTGTCATAGTTTCCTCCAATCATTTTCTTCCAGAAGTAGTAGTAGTATTGCCACTCTGATTGGTTAACAAGAGTCGGTTTCTCCTGAAGAGTGATACTTCATTTGTTGCGTTTTACTTTGAAAAAGAAAAAAAAGTTAAAAGTTATTATTTTAGCGGAACAATTAAGGGTGAGCAGCGAAGAATTAAGGTAGCTACTAAAATCATATTTATTTGAGGGCTGAAATAAAAAATGTTTAGAGAGGCTCTCTCCTCTTCGTCTTTTCACTCTTCGAAAAATGGGTTTCAAGCGTCGTTGTCGTTGTTTCCACGGTGAGATTGAGAAACCAGTACAAAGAGAACTGGTTTCCTTGGTCCTTGGCTAGAAGCGACAAAGAGGGGCAAGTCAAAAGCACCCCTCTCGCCATCAAGGATGGCAATCGTCCGCAGATGATCTATCGGACAGGTGACCGGTGTGGAGGTAGGAAGCGCTGCCCCATCAAGCGTTAGTTTCAGAAGGCCTTTCCCTCACCAGAGACTCCCACTGATCGTCTCTCTAAGAGGAAAAAACAGGGGCAAAAGGCGATTTGGATGTTTTGGCTCCCTCAATCGTCCGATCTGGAGGTTGACGATCCAGACTTAACCTCGTTCGCGAGGAGAAGATTTCAGACTACCATCCCTGAAATCAATCAATTGGATTTCTGTGATATGTTGGTTCAAAATTTCCCCCTTGGGGGTGGGATTGTTCCCGATAAGACTGTTGGTGTGCAAGGCGGAAGTTGCAAATTAGGAGTGAATGGAGACGTGATTAGCTCCAGCGCCAATGAAGCCGTAATCGGGTCATTGGGTAGAGTGGTTTCCTCCGGAGCTGGGGGTCCCGTTGTGCCTCGAGTGAAGAGGCGACAGGTGCGTCGTTTTACATCACGGCAACCCATCATCTCCGGCGACAATTTGCGAGGATGCACTGGCGTCGCCGATGAATGGCGCTGGATGGGGGAAACAAGATTCCTCCTAGTGGATAGGGATGGCATATCCCCCAAATCCCTCCTCTGGTTTAGCGCAATCGGCGCTAACAACCTAAAATAAAATAAAAATTAATTGTTTCCCCCCAAGCGAGGTGGCCTAGTCCGATGCAAACTCTGTTTTCCGGGAGGCACAGGGAGACACGCCTCTTCGGGAGATTTTCAGGAGCTCTTCCCTTTAAATTGGGTTCTCCCAAGCCTGCCTCCCACTTCATAATTCCCGGAAGTTGGACCTCGATACCGAAGCAAAAAAACATGGCTGCTGGCGCCCTGCTGTCTCCGACTCTGAGATCCGAGCCGTCACCCTCTCCTACCAGCAGATTTCGGCGTGGTCTACTCCTGATTGCGGGTTTCGATCGTTCGTGATACCCGGCCAGCAACTCCCGGCTCCTTTTTTCTTGTAAGGTAAAAGTTTATTTCCCAGAGAGAATGATCCTGACTTTGCTTCGATTGGGATTCATACACTTTCGAGTGAGAAAATTCCCCTCTATTTACTCTCTATGTGGCTGCCACAAATCTCATGGGTTAAGGAGGGCAAGCCCCTCGTGGCTGATTTAAGTACAATAAAGGTTGTGTTGCCTCTGCCGCCTGCTACCTCGGTTCCTGAGCCGGCCATTATTCATGACTCTAATAATTTATCTATTCCTTGTTATCAGGAGAATATGATGTCGCGTGTTGCGGAGGATCAAGTGGTTGCGTTCTCGCTTGAGGAGGTGCAGTCCGTGAAGTTCGCACCTCGAGGACACTTTTGGGGAGGCTCTTCTCAGAAACAGTTTCACTACCACTGAACTGCGAGAGGGCTTAATCGAAGCTTGGCGGGTGAAAGGAAACCTTCGGGTTACGCTTACTAAGTTTGGCCTGTTTGAGGTGGTGCTTCCAAATGATGAGACAGGGGTGTGGATCCTGAAAAGAACACATTAGATTGTCAAAGATAGGATTTTCCACATCCGCTCATGGGTTCCGTCTATCTCAAGACTTATTTTTTATGAGCTGGCCATTGCACCCTTCCGCGTGCAACTCTGGAATGTCAAAGAAGACTGTTGCACTAGGCAGTTTGGCCGGAAGGTCGCAGCGGGGATTATTGGGCAGGTCTTGGAGGCAGATGTCTTTTCGTCAAAAGACACAGAAGAGTGCTTTGTTAAAGTGCACGCTCTCATTGATTTTACAAAGCCGCTGAGTTCCCAGTTCATGGCAGTTAGTGAGGAAACTGGGAACTTCTGGGTAAATCTCAAGTACGAATTTTTACCGCCCATCTGCTTTCATTGTGGCCGAGTGGGACACTCGAAACGTGACTGTGTTTTCGATCCACCTCCGGGCAAAGAACGTTTTGGCCCTCACATGTCGACAAAGAAGCTAGGAAGGAAGATATACATGGAGGAGGAATATTACCCATCCTATCGGAATACAAGTAAATCTGTGTGGGTGAACAGGAATGTGCAAGGGTACAACAGAGGGAGTGCGAAGACATCTAGGGGTCGAGTGCAGGAGGTTACATCGGGGAATACGGACCACTCTCGGACCCACGGATTGTCTCAGTCTATGTCTGCTGAACTGCCAGCTCAAGCTCTCAAGAAGGAGCAGCCTAGGCTGCATGAACCTAATATCCAGCTGACTGGGAATCGGGCTAGTCCCAAGCGGTTGTCTTCAAGACGTCTCCTCGGGTTGAGATTGGTGGTGGGGTGCGACAGTTCCAAAACAAGCAGTCACCTAAAAAGGCTGCCTCTCTTCCTCGGCAGAGCACCAAGGGTCGCCATCAGCCAGATAGGCGTGCCAGGCAGGCTCCCCAACGCCAGCAGAAGGCGGATGCTATGGTGGAAGTTCTTGAGCAGTCCCGAAGGCGTAGAGTGATCTTACAAGAGGAATCGGAAGAGGAGGAGCTAGCAAGTACTGAGGACATCTGACCATCTTCCAAGACTGGGACCCAGTCTGGGGTTGTTCTACCACGGGTTCGCCCACGCCTGCGGAAAGCTGATGCTAAAGGCTTGCTATCTATAGACAAGCAGGATAGGGGCTCTGACTCGCCTAGTGCTATGCATGAGCAAGAGGAGGTGGAGGTTGCTGTTCCTCTGGATGGTCCTGTGTATGAGAATCACCAGAAGGATTCTGACTTAGATGGAGATCACTCGCTTGGGGAGTATAACTCTGTTGAGATCAAACGACGTTGACCAGGTGGGGCCTCTTCGAAGGGTTGCCAAAGCATGAAAGGGCGTGTCCACCAAGTAGTGGAGGCGTTTGAGGCTGGGCTTATCTTCGAGCAGAAGGAGGATGATCCTCCCAAGGATTCGAGTTTGACTCTAAATGAATATGGGTCTAACCTGATGGGCCCAAGCATGGAGAATCGGAAGCTGGGAATTGATGCGTTGGAAGGGGATGTAGGTGACCCCCCCACTCCGAAGAAACAATTTGTGGAAACTGCTGATGAGTTGGAAAAGGTGGAGGAAGCCAGCCTCAAGTGGCCCCAGTCCGATAAATGAGGCTTCTAGCCTGGAATGTGAGAGGAATTGGACCATCCCTCACTTTCCAAAGTGCTGTAGGTAGGGGTGTCAGTTCGGGTCGGGTTCGGTTACCCAAACCGAAACCCAAAAAAACCCAAAAACCCGAAACCGAAAATCACTAAAACCGAACCCGAACCCGATAAGGACTTGTGGGTTCCGGTTAACCGAAACCCAAAAATTCCTTATCGGGTTCGGGTTCGGTTAAATCAAAACCAAAACCCGAAAACCCGAACGCCATAAAATACGGGCTGAGTTTTATTCATTGGAGTTTTTTAGCCGGAACTCGAAAAACCGATAAGCAAAACCGAAATCGAAAACCCGAAACCCGAAATGAACCCGAACCCGAAAAATCGAAAATGTATATAATCGGGCCGGTTTTGGATAAACCCGAAAAACCAAACCCGAATGGACACCCCTAGCTGTAGGGCTTGTTTATTCCAATAAACCGGATCTCGTGTTTTTTTCACAAACTCGATCGAGCCGGGGTGTGTGTCCCGCCGTATGCGGGGGTTAAGGTTTGCTATTTCGCATTGTTTCTTTGTAGATGCAGTCGATGCATCAGGAGGTTTACTTTTTGCTTGGTCCCCCGGGGTTGACGCTTCGGTGTTTTTCCATTCCAATTTCTGTATTTGTTCGCAAATTAATGATGGAGATCTTTCTTATGTGGTGATCTTTGTTTATTTAAGCTGTAATGTTGCTCTTAGAGCTTCCCAGTTGGCTCAGCTGCAAGAAGTTTGTGCGCATATTGCTTACCCCTATGTAATCATAGGTGATTTCAACACTATTCTTCGTACGGGTGAAAAAGATGGGGGGGGGGGGGGGGGCTTGGAATGGTGCCCAAGCCACCAGTCTCCGAGACTTTGTTCATAATTTGGGCCTCCATGACCCGGGTTTCCAAGGGGATCAATTAACTTGGACTAATAAACGTATGGGTGCAGCGTGTATTCGTGAACTTCTGGATATGGCTCTTTGCTCCCAGTCCTGGATTGATGCCTATCCGGAGACTCTGGTCAAGCACTTTACGGACCAGGGGTCTGATCATCGAGCCCTGTTGCTCCCTGATAAACCATATGCCCGGAGTAGTCGGCCTCTTTTCCGTTTGGATGCCCGCTGGGCGGATAATCCTGAAGTGAGGGCTATGGTCCAGTATGTCTGGCAGGAAGAGATCCAAGGTACCCCTATGTTTAGACTGTGGGAGCGCCTAAAAAGGCTTCATCATCTTCTCTATGATTGGAGCAGGACAGGGACAACTAACTCCATCCGCAATATCAAGACGCTCCAAGCTGAGATTGATAGGATTAAGTCGATCCATCTGGTGGATTGGGATGAGATCAGGACCCTGGAAACGGAGCTCTCTCGCCAGTGGGAAGTGGAGGAAGTGTACTGGCAACAAAAATCCAGTGTTAAATGGCTAAAAAAATGAGGTCAAAATTCTGCTTACTTCCATACGGTCACGAGGACTCAGCGGAAAAGGAACTTTGTTTCCGGGCTTCGAAATGAGGAGGGAGAGTGGGTCACTGAGGAAACGGGAAAGGCTAATATTGCCACCAATTTTTACCAGACCTATTTACTTCGGAAACTCAGGTTCCTAATATGACTGAAAGGGTGGCGAATCTGCCGATTGCCCAAAGTGTTACTCCGCAAATGAATGCGCAATTGACGGCAGAGGTTTTGCCTAGTGAGGTTCGGAGTACGGTATTTTCAATGGGCTCGAAGCAGGCCCCGGGATCGGATGGCTTCACAGGGAAGTTCTTTAAAGCTTTCTGGGATATTGTGGGCTCCTCGTTGGTTGAAGCAGTTATTTCCTTCTTTGCCTCGAGTCGGATGCTGCGGAGTTTTAACCATACCTGGCTCACTCTGATCCCTAAAGTGGACTCGGTGAAAACAATCAGACAATTGCGTCTGATTAGTCTCTGCTAGTTTGTTTACAAAGTGATTACCAAGATCATGGTTTAACGGTTGGCTAGCATGCTCCCACAGATCGTTTCGGAAAGCCAAAATGGTTTTATCAGAGATCGGCAGATTATTGATAACATCCTTATAGGACATGAACTAATGCATTATCTGAAGATAAAAGAGCAAGGGAAGAAGGGGTACATGGCTCTGAAGGTTGACATGGAAAAAGCCTATGATAGAGTCGAATGGCCCTTTCTTCTTGAAGTTTTGGATAAGATGGGTTTTAATTCAGTCTGGCAAGGATGGATACATGAATGTCTTCGATCCTCCTCTTTCTCGGTTCTGATGAATGGAACACCCTCAAGTTATTTCACTGCCTCTAGGGGCCTTCGCCAGGGGGATCCCCTCTCTCCTCTCTTGTTTGTACTATGCACGGAGGGGTTTGTAGCCCTCCTCCGAAAGGCGATCATGGAGAAAAAATTAGAGGGGAGTAAAAGTAGCTCCTCGTGCTCCAAGAGTCTCGCATCTGTTCTTCGCAGATGATTCTTATTTATTTTAGCGAGGTTCTCTGCAGGAGTGCGAGAATTTAATTGAGGTGCTGAATGAATATGAGGAACTGAGTGGCCAACGCGTTAACTTGGAGAAATCGGCGGTGTGCTTTACAAAGAATATT